ATTTGTAAGTTTTGTTCTGTTCCACTGTGGACAAATGGATTTCACATCAATTTGAAACAGAAGCTTAAAAATGTCCTCACGTTCTTACTTTGTGTGCCTTCTTTTTGAGAAACTGCTGTAAAAATTAAAATGTAGTTGAAGGGCACGTTAGTTTACATTATACAGAAACCATGGCTATTTACTTTAATTGGTTTTGTCTTTAATTTGGATTTTATGGGGGGTTTTTTGGTACTATACATGTATGCCATCACAGTTGGTGGATTAAAATGTAATTCAGTGTATTCATAGGTTTCTATTGTTGTGATTAACTTCTGTTTTCTTCTCAAACAAAGAAAAATACTAATGAGTTTGCCTTTTAAGCTTTATCCATATATTTGTTGAATACAAGCAGTAAACCAGTTTATTTGCAGGTGTCTTCTATGTTCCTTTAATGGATACAGCCCAGCGTGGAGCTACTCAGACACTGTGAGGAAGTAATGTTCCCTTGACCGTTAGTGTCACATAAAGACTTGACAAAAGCAGCAGTTGTGATCTGTGAGGTTATTACATGCACAAGCCCGTTCTCTGTGCTGGCTGAAGTTATTCTGTATTTGAACTGGTGTCACTTGGGTCCTTTGATAGCGCAAGGATACCTCCCGCAGCCAGATTCTTGCTAGAGTTTAAATGCAGTTCATATAAAAGCCTAGACTTTGTGGAGGTTGATACTGTTTTAGAAAAGGTTTTTACCTGTCACATCCATGAGAAGTTAACAGGCTTTTCTTTGAGTCCCGACTGAAACAAAAGCACAGATGTCACATCTTTCAAATTGCTTTGGTTAGCAGTGAAACCAGCAGGCATCAGATGATGGGCAAGCAGTGGCTGGGAAGGGACAGGTGAAAAGCGGTTACTCATTAAGAACTGACTGTGTGAATACCTTCTTTGGGGGCCATAAGGGGTTTTGGGCAGAGATACTCCAAACTGATCGTGCACTGCTCGTCTCTGCTGGCAGCCGCTGTAAGCTTTGAGCAAAGTCCAAGAACAGAGTTTTGGTAGGAATCCTCAGCTCTCCAGTCCTGGCAGTGTGGGACAATGGTTGTTATTGTTTCCCATGGACATTATCCAGGAGAGTGGAGCCCTCGTATGGCTATTAGCTGTCCAGAGAATGTTGATGACCAGTATGCAGAGTTGATCTTTGAATCAGAGGTGACTAAAATTGTGTGTAGAAGATAAGGAAAGCCAAGCATGTAGTCAGCAGAGTTGGCAGATCAGTTCTAGCATTTTCATTTTTTTCCCTAGACTGGGAAGGCTTACTCCCTTAGACAAAGAGGAGTTTCAATCTGACCCCAGGAAATAAAATGTTGGGGAAAAAAAAAAAGCCCAAGTATTTTTTAATTTTTATTTTTAATATTTAACTGACGTATCTGATCAAGGATGGATTATTTAATTAGAATTATTAAATTTGGTACTTCATGGGGAGAGGCAAATTTTCGTTTTAAAATCAATGTTACAGCATCAGACGTTCATTAGAATGATGTAATTATTGTAGTTTTATGAATCTACATCATGTAGCTTTTCATTTGGAAAAGTTATTCTGTGTTTTAAAAGTAAGTTCACCTTGTGTTTCTTACGACATCCTCATTATGAAAGGTAGCTTGGGTATCACACCAACTTGACCAAAGACTTGCAGGTCTGAACTTTTCCCCTTAGCCCAAGAGGTAAGACTTACTAGAAAATTTGTTGCATTTGTTTTCCATTGGTTTTCACTCCTACATTTTAGCAAGATGGGTATCTGTTCAATAAAATTTTATCTTCCTTTTTGACTAGTGTTAAAGTTGAGATATTTTAAATAAATTGCATTGCATTACAGTTGCAGTGTAAGGTGTTTGTTACCTGATGACTACAGGATTAAAGGTTTTAGGGTGCTCTGGCTTCTGTATTGCACACTTAAAACAATAATAGAATGTTAGAGCTCAGCTTCTAGAAATAGCTCTTAAAAGTTCAGAAGGCTTGGAACCTGTTCCTGCTTGAAGTGTGGGTTTTTAATGCGATGAAAGAAGAGCTATAATAGGATAATAAAAACTCAGCAGAAATTTCATCTCTTGCTTTCCTGTAGTAGACCTTCAAAGATCTGTCCCGTCACTTAGAATGCGGAGTGTCTCGTCCATGTTGGCAAGCTACTGTAGGAGCATTAAGCAAATATAAAGAAAGGGCTTTGGCACTTCTTTGCTAAAAAAACCCCTTGTATTTGACTAGTAAAAATATAGGTTATGGCTGAGCAGTGTGATTTATTGCATCTTAATATATTACTGAATGCTGTATTGATTAGTGTTATGAGCTGCTTGACTCTTGGCAAATTCAGTGTTCTTTTTAAAAAAGTTTTCTATTGTTACTATCACTTAGGGAGCCCCAAGCACAGAATGGTCTCGTGTGCATATACAGGATTTAAAGTTTATCATGAAAGTTATTTAAGTTGCATTTTTTTGAATATAATAAATTGCATTCTCTCATTTTATGTGACGACATGCAAAGTCTGCTACCTTTTGTGCTCTTGGGCCTCCATGGTGAAGCCCTTGTGAACCTGTTCCTTGACTTTTTGTTATATGTCTCACTTTTAGAATTTAGCCTTGCAAGAGCAGAGCAGAACTAAGCCTCTAGAGGTTTTACAAAATACTCACTATTAAAAGGGCTATGCATACTTATGTGTACATGTAAAATAAATAAATAAATAAAAACACAGGGTCCTAACTGCGACTCTGCCCTATAGTGCAGCTGAGTCTGTGGTGATGCAGCAGTCTGGCTGTGTGGAACTGATTTGAGGAAGCTGGTAATTGATATAGAAAATTAGTTTTGGGATTGTTTCATCTTAATTTGGGATTTAATTTCAATAGTTTGTTTTAATCAATCTGAGTCTACAATATATTTTTAAAAACTGCAACTAAAATGCATTATTCATTTCTGGAAGTCATTCCACGTGGTTTTGTCGGTGTAAATAATCCTTGTGAAAGTTTGAGCTCAGTGTTGTAAGGTGCTGAATGTCTGCTGTGAAACTTGAAGCGTGCAGGAGTTGTCAGCAGTGGGTCTTCGCAGGACCTGCTCTGATGGCTTGACCTTGACCTGGAACTAATTCTGAAAAATCTAAGTTTCAGAAACACGTTTGTGACAAAAAGTCTGATGTGAGAAACTTATTCAAGAGACTGAAATAAAGCAGCAACACATTGCAACTTTAAAAGTAGTATAGCCTAACTAATATCACTATTTAAGTCTGCAGTGTGTTCTGAAATTTTGGCTTCAGCTAAGTGTTGTAGATACAGGGTTGGTTTGGGTTAGGGGGATTTTTTTTTTTTTTAAAGGGATTTTAAATCAAAATGTATTGGTCTGTTTAGTATATTATGTGGATATCAGTTTAAGCCAAATGTGATGTTTTTGTATTTTTTTAAAGATGTAACTCCGAAGCTGGTAACTTAACCGCCCTTACGAATGGTGGTGTTCACACTCATTGTCATTGAGCAGCAGAAAACTGATTTTGACTTTTAGGGTGGTTGAATTTGTGTTGTGAAGCATTGGTTCTTTTTTCTAATGATAGTGTGATTGGACATTAATTGTCATTTGGAATGAAGAGATTGAGCTCATACTGTTCCTAAACCATTTGTTCCTTGGCTGGCGATAGTTTATCATGTCTGGAGGTTTTTTTAAATTTTTTTTTGGTGCCTTTTTTCCGCATAATCCCTGAGAAGGAGCCATGTACTTGGAAATTACAATAATTAAGAAAATATACAAGTTTTGGTTAGAATGCAGGGTAAACTACAAATTAATTATTTGCGCCATGTAAGAAATCTAATCCTGACCTGAAAGTTGGAACTTTTAGTTACCAAGTTGTAATGATAGGAGTCTTTTTGCTTTGAGTATATTGAGTCAACTTTAGAACTGTATTTGGATAGTTTTTTGTAATACCCTTGAAATACTGAGCATGCTTCTCCTCATCAAAAATATCCTTGGGAATCACTCTATGCTGATAAATTCCTGGCAGCAAGTTCTCCATTCAGTGTTGCGCTGGAACAGAGAGGGATGTCTCCTGGTCTGGGCTGGAGGCCTGAAATTCCAGAGCTCTCACCTTGGCTACTCACTCCCCTGCTGCCTCCAGCAAAATGACTTACCTTTTTTTTAAGCTTCAGTTGCTGCACCTGTGAAATGGGGACGATGCCTCCTCACAGGAATGTTTTGCGAATTATGTAGGTGGAGTTGAGCACCTTCAAAGTGAAAAATCTCTAAAAATAAGAATAATAATAAAAAACCTTAAAGTATTTCGATGTGTAGCTCCCTGAAATGGAAGGCCCAGCCTAGTCCCTTGCTGCCATCAAGAGATCCTGTTCCTGGCAGTGTGGCCTCGTGCCTGCTCCTGCAGTAGCTGGTGTTTGTTACTGCTGTCACCAGGGTCTGCATCAGCACCAGCCCCTCGGTCAGTGATGGTGAGGTATGGAACAGCCTGTTCTGCAGCATCTGTTGAGGCAATTAATCTATCAAATATTTTGATAACCATGGGCTTTATTTAGGCATCTCAACTGTGTAGCATTCTTTTATTAAGAGGAGAATTTTTTTTTCTTTTTAAATTGGTTTAAATAGAAAGGTTTCCTGTCTTACAGCTGTGTATGAATTTGCTATGCCCTTCAGCTCTGTCTTCAACTACACAATGATAACCGTGCTTTATTTCTGTGATTGTTTTGCCAGCATGATTTTTGTGATGATTTAACTGAGTTTTTTTTACAATGTAAAGTATGTAGAATGAAGGTAAATTTATTTAAAAAAAAAAAAAAGAGAGAGAAAATAAGTGTTGGTTTGAGGGTCTATCTGCCTCAGCAGTTAGAGAAAGTCTAATTGCTTGGAAAAATTATAAGTGTTACTGATTTAAAAATATTAACAATACTGATGATTTTTTTGTTGTGGGGTTTTTTTGTTTTGTTTTGGGGTGGTTTTTTTGGTAAACCGTTTCTAGTTACAATATTATTTGTGTTTACTAGAACAAGTTGAAATCATCACAGAAGGATAAAGTGCGTCAGTTTATGGTCTTCACACAATCTAGTGAAAAGACAGCAGTGAGTTGTCTGTCTCAAAATGACTGGAAGTTAGATGTTGCAACAGACAACTTTTTCCAAAATCCTGAACTTTATATACGAGAGAGCGTTAAAGGATCATTGGACAGAAAGAAGCTAGAACAACTATATAACAGATACAAAGGTGAGTAACCCGAGTTCGAAGGCTTATTTCCTAGTTGTATGTATGTATTCTTAATTACAGGGTGTCACTGCAGCAGTGCTCTTGTGCTTGGATATCTTGACCAACTCTTTCAGCTCTGTTACTAATAATACAAGTTAGAAGGGGAATATATGTGGGCTTCTGCTTTACAAGGATTACATGCAGTTGCTTTATGTGCTCTATATATACATACATTTATACAAGAGTAGTGTCTGGAACTGCAATTGTGTGTACAATGAATAACTGTAATGGACAATATATATTTTAGGTGGTTCTTATGGGGAAAACACATCACTCAGGACTTGCTCCTGCGGAAGTGAAAAGTTTCATACCAAGGATGGATTCTACCTTAATTTTTATACACCTTGTCCTTACTATCAGATAGTTACAAACAGAGCAGAAAAAAACCTCAAAGTCTGTTTATCCATTATATAGCCAGTATTCAACTGATGATCTCCTACCACAAACAGTAAAGTGGATTCAGTACAGTAGAACAAATTCTGTGGGTTTGTGGGTTTTTTTTAAATCTAAAAACGAGTGCTACATTTTCTGTCAGTTTTCACATGCGTACATAATCCAAATACTATTTTCCTGAAGTCTTTGTTGGCTTGCGTTAGTAGATCTTTGTTAGTGCACTTGAAATGTGAGCATCTCACTTCCAGACCAGATGTTGATTCCTTCGTGGAAAGAGGAGTGTGCCTGGCTGACTTGGAATCGGTAATGGAGCAACATAACTTTCCTCTTGGAGGTTACCATGTCCGATCTCATACACGCTGGTGATGCCAGAAAATGTCAGCTTAGTAATTTATGAGCAGATTTGCTAATTGTACCAGTGCAACTTGCAAACGGACACTGCAGAATTGTTTCTCATGGTACACAGATCGTCAGTCTTACCAGAGATGCCAATAATTAAGTGTGCTTGTGGGAAAGGACCACTGTTCTCTGTATGGAATGAGTCAGAATATCGTGCATATTATTAGGCAGAAAACAAATGTTTGTGGTGCTTTTGTCTCTCAATGAAAATAACGTAAGTGTCATTGTATGGGAGGCTTTACTGTAGTAATTTCCTCATTGTTAAAACTTAGCCATTGAAAATCATAGAATCATGGAATGGTTAGGATTGGAAACTAATTTAAATTTGTTTTTAATTTAAATTTAAAAACTAATTTAATTTTGTTTTTAAAATAGTCACTTATAAGAGCTGATCTCAAAAATGGCTTCTTGAAAATGTTTGCTTATCTTAAATACTCGTGTTGAATACATTAGCTTTTCAAAAAATCTGTTTTTCTTAATACTTACTTTTATATCCCAAAGATCCTCAAGATGAAAATAAAATTGGTATAGATGGTATACAGCAGTTTTGTGATGATCTAGCTCTCGACCCAGCCAGCATTACTGTACTGATCATTGCATGGAAATTCCGAGCTGCAACACAGTGTGAATTTTCAAAGCTGGAATTCATGGATGGAATGACTGAGCTAGGGTAAGTGTGCAGCATTAGACACTGACAGTGTCAGAACTGGAACGGATGGTGAAACAGTCCTATTTTGGGGAATTCACAATCACATTGTCCTTTCAAACTTCAGAGACTTTTCAGAGTTTAGCATCACTTGTCTGCCTCTGTAAAAATGCATCTGCTGTCTATGTGCTAAATGCTTAGTGACAAAAAAAAAGGGGGGGAGGCAACTCTGAGTGTCACTTGCCTTGGTTGTGTGAGTATTTGCTAGTTGTCGTAGAGCTACTCGAGTAGGTAAAGCAAGGATGTTGGTCTGCAGTCTTATCATGCCTGGGTTTTCTCTGCCTTATGAGGATGTAGGAGTGTTTGCCACATTTTTCTAAAAATCTTGTGGATTATAGAATCTGATGTGTCAGCTAGTATGTGCAAATGGCAATATGAAGAAATAACAAAAAAGAAATTAAATTATTGTTTAGGTGCAGACTAATTAAAGGCTTCCTGAATTTTGTTTTGCTAATAGTGTCGTCTTCGATAAAATTTTACACATTTTTGTTTAAGTTACAACTCATACTTTATGGGAAAATGAATAATACACAAATAAATCTGCTTTTTAAAATGCAGATGTGACAGCATAGAAAAACTGAAGGCCCAGATTCCTAAAATGGAACAAGAATTAAAAGAACCAGGAAGATTTAAGGATTTTTATCAGTTTACTTTCAACTTTGCAAAGAATCCAGGACAAAAAGGTTTAGGTATGTATTCTTAATCATAAACATTTGTTTGTAAGTATGAGAAATGACTGATTAAAGCAGTAGTGAAAGTATTACTGTGATCCAGTGAGTCTGGAAGACAATCATCCTTGGGATAAAATACATCTCTCTATTGTGGAAGGTAGATGGCAATTTAAGGTGTTCAACATGATAGAAATACCTGCATCAGTAATACAGACTACAGACTTTTATGAGAGAGGGTTTATTCTTTCACAAAGAATGTATGCAGTTCTCAGTAAGCACAGTGGGTTATGGTTTTACATTAAAGGCATAATTATACCACTTAGAATTTTCAGCAGTGAACAGATTAATTGAATTTTCACTTTTAGGATGAATTTAAGCTGTAAAATCACAGAATCACAGAATATTAGGGATTGGAAGGGACCTCAAAAGATCATCTAGTCCAGTCCCCCTGCCGGAGCAGGAACCTAAATGAGATCACACAGGAAGGTGTCCAGGCGGGTTTTGAATGTCTCCAGAGAAGGAGACTCCACAACCTCCCTGGGCAGCCTGTCCCAGGGCTCTGTCACCCTCACTGTAAAGAAGTTTCTTCTCAAGTTTAAGCAGAACCTCCTGTGTTCCAGCTCACACCCACTGCCCCTTGTCCTACCAAAAAACTGATTTCCATGTAAGTACACTTGTACAATCTCTTGTAACACCAAAAATGCTTGCACATGTCTTGGTAAAACAGAATTGGAGTAGTACAAATAGATTTCTGTATCCTGGGCTTGATGCCCGTTGTTGCACTGTTGGTGACAGGTGCCTACCTACAGCCTTTATTTTTCCCCCTCAGCTCACTGAATGTGTACTTTCATTATTTCAGACCTCTTCTGATGGTTGTGCTTTTGGTTAGTGTAATGGGTGAAGTGGAAGAATCACTTTTTATAAATAATTTTTTTGGAGAGAAAAAAAAAAAAGGCAAAACCAAAAAGAAAAGCCCAACAGAACACCACAGTTCTGGGGGAAATAAATGAACAAACTGTAGGTCTGTCTCATCAAAACAGCAAAAATGAGGGAACAAAAATTTCTTTGAAGCTTTAATGCTAACCAACTAAAATGCATATTCATTTATATACAGTGTAGTTCAGATATTAGCCATAACTGCTATTTTATGACTCTGTAACTGTTCATTTCTTAACTGTTCTACTTTTCATAGAATCATCGAATGGTTTGGGTTGGAAGGGACCTTAAAGATCATCCAGTTCCACCCCCCCTGCCATCAGCAGGGACACCCTCCACTAGACCAGGTTGCTCAAAGCCTCATCCAGCCTGGCCTTGAACACTTCCAGGGAGGGGGCATCCACAGCTTCTCTGGGCAACCTGTTCCAGTGTCTCACCACCCTCACAGTGAAGAACTTCTTCCTAATATCTCATCTAAACCTGCCCTCTTTCAGCTTAAACCCATTTCCCCTTGTTTTGTCATTAATTACCCTTATGAAAAGTCCCTCCCCAGCTTTCTTGTAGACCCTTCAGGTACTGGGAGGCCGCTGTAAGATCTCCCTGGAGCCTTCTAAAATACTACTTTGGCAGGTTGTGAATTCATTTAGTTTCGACTCATTCTTTGACATCTTTCTGTCCTGTTTTTTGTTTTCAATTGGATGGTTTTACTGTCTGAAGAATCTAAAAGAGCACTGCTAACCAGTTTAAAAATACTTGTGCATGCATGTAGTCAGATCTGAATCCTGCAAATAAATCAATGGACTGATTCTTATTCCTTGTAGTAAGTTGTATTATTTTTTTAGGCTACTACAACAAAGAAAATGTGGAGAGCAGTTGACTTGTGAGAGGGTAGAAGTTAGGTTATGGAGCGGGTCAGTGTGGAATCAGTTCTGCAGTGTGAACAGCTGCAGGATTTCGTTGTTCTGATTATTTTTTTTTGTTATGGTTACCATTATAACATTTGTATTTTGTTTTTAATGTTTAAATAGCTTTACACAGCAAGGAGTATTTTGCAGAATCCCTGTAAAATAGTAAAAGTGAAATGATAAATTACAGTGATACCACAATTATGTGATAATTTTAAGTTGTATTTTCTCAAAGCTTCAAAATTACAGATCTGTTTGTTGGAGCACTTAACCTCTTATTTTTTTCTCTCCATATTTCTAACGTATAAGGACGACTTGCATTCCTCTGATTATTTTTAGTTTGTTTGTTTTTCCCCTAGACCTATATAGAAATGAATCTTTTGAGTATCCTAGATGGAACAGACTTCAGTAAAAGTTGTTTACCAGGAAAACTAAGCCCCATGCTTTATTTCTCATTCATCTTAAAGCTTCTTTATGCAGGTTAAGTTCTAACAGTGACAAAGACAAGTTTTCTTGTTTTCTCAGATCCCTGTAGCACATACATAGCGTCAGATTTTTATTTATTTTTTTCTTTTTAAAGTCTGGGTCTGGAAGTGTTGTAGAACTAAGCTTAAAATCTGAATGCTTAGCAACCCTTTTGCTGCCAATAAATACACAGTTCCAGGCATGAATTTATGATAGGGCAGAATAATTCTGGAAACCCTGAAGCAAAAGAATATTGGGAGAAGTACAGTGCTGAAAAGCAAGTGCTCCTAGTTAGGCAATTAATTTTGGAGTGTCTGAATTACTGCTTGTAGGAACTTGCAAATTGATTTTAATGTATACTGGTCTCTGATCTTACATTGTGTAGTAGTTCAGGCACAGTTCTGGAAAGGCATCTCCTCTGCATAATTCCTTACTATCCTGTAAGTACTGTGGGTGTCTTAAAAGTTGTTGTGATATTTGCCTGTCATTTGAGAATACCTTTTAGCTGATGTTCATCTCAATCGTTGCTTGCTTTTCTTGCATTTCTCTGGATAAAACTCAAAATGGAACATATATTTTGAGACTTTCATATTTGATCCATGAAGACCTTCCTGAGCATTCTTTCACTTTCTTATGGAAACTTAAAATTATATCTTTACTTTTGAATTTTGTAATTTCATAAAATTTCTTTTAAAACATGTAGTTTGTCCTAAGGCATCATGCCTTCGTGCTTTACGTGTTTGGACTCACATAATAAGTTTGAAGTTGCAGCATCCTGAGATCTGTTTTTTAAAGGCCTTTGCTTACCCACACGAGTAATCTCAAAATGGTATAAGCATGTTGGAACGCACAGTTTGTTTATAATGTTTGTTTATAAACCACTATAACTATGCAGCGATTTGATGACCTTGCATTTTTTGTATGCCTGCGATTAGTGCATCACAAGTAAATAAAATTTAGTTTTCTAATCTGTTTCCTTGAGGAATTGATCAGCTTAATCTGAGGTTTGTATCTATTAATTTTTAGAAAGGCAGTAGTTTTAGTTGAAAGCATATTTTTTGTATCTGAATCTTCTGTTAAAGAGAGGGACAACTTATTAAAGAGTGGAAAGGCTAGGTCATTTTCAGGTATAGCGTATTTACTGAGAGGTAGTGACTTCTGTTTACTTTGTCCCTGCTTCTTGAAAGTCAAACTTATGCTTTTATCTGAAATCACATTCCTTTGCAGCTGCTGGAAAATCCTCCACAAATTTTATTCTTTGATTAAGAAGCATTATAATGTGAATATGCTGGAGAAGCTCGAGAAGAACTTCTAATATCAAAGATACTTAACAACTCAGAAGCTCCCCCCAACATAATCTATTTTCCCTCCAGCAATGCAGAGTTCATGCTTTGTTTTGTTTGCTATTGATTTCACCTTTAAGATCTACCTCCCTCTTTTTTTAAGAAGTGTGGGCATCTGGGGAAAGGGAGTGGTTTTCTTGGGTTGTTGGTGGGTTGTTTTGTTGTTTTTTTCCTGAGGTGCAGCTGAGCATGTTTCTCTCCTCTCTGCTCTCACTAGAGAGATTGTTTATGGAAGAAGAGATTTGCTAGACTGCAAAATATATAAGAGCTTTTGTTAAAAAAGAGGTCACTTAAGTAGGTAGCCTTTTGGGGTTACTGTGTGTACTTGGTGATGGATACTGATTTAGTAAGATCAGTTAGTTGCATTTTTTACACAGTACACAGGTCCTTATAAATTCCTGGTAATGCAGAGATCAGGCTGAGTAGAGATTTAGAGCTCAGATACATAATTTTCTTTTATCAGCTAACATGTTACTGGATGCCACTACTAAATATTAAACACATGTCAGTTTAGCCTTTGGCAAATACCAGGGAGGTGAGGGTTGGGGTTTTTTTTTCCCTTCCAAGCTGGACTAACCAGTCTCTTTTCTAACTGCTGCGCTCTAACAGCACCCACTGCTGACAGCAGCACGCAGTTGGCTGACAGGCAGGAGGTTATTCCTGAACTGTGTCAGTTCAGGTTTCTCAATCATTCTGAGAAACACATTCAAAACAAGCAAGAACTTAACAGGAGTCTTTGAAGAAAAGAAAAAAAACCCAAACAACCAAACAAACCCAAACCAACAAAAAAACCCCCAACCCAACCAAAAAAAGATCCACAACCATCAACCCAACTATCAACCATCTGCTCGTGCAGTACTTAAAGATTTTTCTCAAAAGGAAACCTGATTGCAGAAATGAACACTTGACAAAGGCCATGTTACAAAGCCAGCACCTGTAACAAGGTTACTCTAAAAATTAAATAATAAAAAGTTAGTTTTATGTAAATTGTATTATATATATTAAAAAAATTAAAGCAGATCTTACTGCAAAATACTACAGATTTTCTTTTCAAGTCAATAGCATTTTAAAGAAAAAATATTTCATGGAATTTTCAGTATTGTTAGATAGCAAAAGGCAGATGAAATATCCTTGTGTGTTTTGGATATTTTAGAAATTAATGTGGACTATTTTCAGTTCTTCTATATTCAAGTGATAGTATCAAAATCTCTAAAATGTTTGTGTAACATTTTATTTGTGGTTGCCTTTTTTTTGTAAAGGATCTATGAGTATATTGGCATTGGATTGCTGTTTTTACTTTTATGAATCTAGGATTCATCTTAGTGTTAGATACATGTTGACATGATATATTTGAAGTGTATATCTCTAAAAGTAATATATTTTAATATTGCAGATTTAGAAATGGCCATTGCCTACTGGAATTTAGTACTTAATGGAAGATTTAAATTTCTAGACTTGTGGAACAAATTTTTGTTGGTAAGTTTAATTCTTTACATAAACTGGACTGCAGTATTTTCGAATCTTGGAAGATAAATACGTTTAAATTATTGAGTAGATGAAATGGGCTATTTTGACCCAGATCCCAGATACTGCACTTCATAGTGTGTAGAAGAGAAGTATGTTCTGGGCATGTGGATGTGTCCAAGACAGTAAAAATGAATGTGTATAAGGGGTTTTAAATTTATTCTTTTTAAACATAAATTTTCTACTTCTCCAAACAGGAACATCATAAAAGATCAATTCCTAAGGATACCTGGAACCTTCTTCTAGACTTTAGTACAATGATAGCAGATGATATGTCTAACTATGATGAGGAAGGTAAACATTTCCATTTTCTTTCATTAACTTCTAACTGTGTTTCATGCTACATTTATTAGTGTGTATCTGCTTTAGCACAGCTGTCTAATAACAGCATAATTAGAATATCACGGGTGATCTAAAGCTCAGTTAGAGCTACTTTATTGCCTGTTGTTATCATTGTTTGTTATTGCAAGTTTAAAAAAAGAAGTGCTGAAACTTTCTTAATTCCATTTTCTTTTTTTCTCCTGTCTGAACTCAAATACTAATTCTTTCTTATTGAGACAAGCCCAGATATTTACAGATTCTCTGTCAGCCCAGTTCTTCGCATCTACGACTAAGTAACTGATTTATGGCCTGTGCATTTCTTCGTAGGGTCCTCTGGTTATTGCATTTCTTAGCTGAGAATATTTTTTAAGTTTGGTTGCTTCAGCTTATGTGAAGATTGGACATGTAATATTAAAGTGAAGCTGGCAGCATACAAGGATTGCTAAACATAAGTTATTTCCTACAAAATGTGTTTCTTGTAAACTTTTGTATTGATCTTTCCTCTTCCAGTCCATCTGTAGCCAAGAACAGCTAATTACCTTCAGTTGTTGGTGGCAGATCAGTTCAGTGAGTGGAGGAAACTCTAAACTTCTGATACTTCCAGAGCAGAGGGGAGCAAACTTCTACAACTTTATTTAATAATTATGGACAGTTCTCATTCCCTTATCAACAAGCAAATGGGCTGCTGCCCACATTAAATCAATGTAGTTTAGAAAGGTTAAAGGTAGAAAAGGTGACTTAATTATTTGGAATAAAAATATTTTAAGGGGGAGGGAGGGGGAGAACTCAGCCCACAATTATTTTTAACCTTTACATGAACATCATGTATATGACTGGGGACCTCTTTAGATATGGCCACTCATAATATGTGAAATACTGATAAGCATTGTAACTACCTCTTGATAAGGGATACAGGAGAGCATGTATAGCATCATAGCAGCCTTCTAGGGCATTAGGCTGTCCTGCTGGCTGTCAGAGGCCGTTTTGCTGTTTCCAGGTATGGCCAAGTGGGCCGATTCTAACAGATGAGCATTGTGTGTGTGCAAAATCAAACTGTGAGCAGGAAATGCTGTAGCAGGTTAAGATGTGCTGCTGCTTCATCCAGCATTCTGCATTTTTTAAGCAACTACTGCCATCCTGGAGATCAAATTCTGGTGCCAAAACCAGGACCAGTTAGAATTTTTGTCAGCTTTTTTTTATCATTTCTTTTTTTGGTCAGGAAGATGGAAGAAGCACGACCCTTGAAAAGGATGTGTATTAACTGGGTTTAAAGGAAGCAGAAATTTTTAACCAGCTCTTCGGTTTGAAGCAAGAAAATCGAATCACAGTTTTTTGTTTGAAACTATGCCTGCATAAGACAGGAAACTAAATCACTTGTTTAGCTCTGGAGTTTTAAAAAGAATGCCTTGTTGAACTGAGTTCTTATGTTCTGGTCTTTTTTTCTTTTAGGGGCATGGCCAGTTCTTATTGATGACTTTGTGGAATTTGCACGCCCTCAAATTGCTGGGACAAAAAGTACGACAGTGTAGCACTAAAGGACCCTTCTACAGTGTACATAGTCTGTACAAATACCTGAAATTGCACAGTCAATTTCTGCTGGCTGGACTGAACTGAAGATCAATCCTCACAGTATGGCTGAGGGTTGAGAGAAACCTTTAAGGATACATCTTGGACCATATCATACTTCATTCTTCTACTGGTGGTTTGGGCTTTTCTTCTAGTCTGGACCACTCTTGCCCGTTAAAATTCCAGCATCGTGGATTTCATCATGGATTTATTTTTTTCCCTTTTTTTTTTTTTTTTTTGGTGGACCACCTTAGTTTCATCTCCTGTTAAATCCTAGAAGCTTTATAATTATTTTGAGGTTTCTGATTTCACATAAAGCACAATGCTGGTCATCATCAGACAACTGTTGTATGGCATCTGAATTATACAGATCAACATCAAAACAATTTTTATGAGAATCCTTAAATATACACTTGGGGCTAGTTGCAAAGACTGCATTGATAGCACTTCCTGTACGAGTGATATATTTAAGTGTACTGGGTCTGATTTTTTTATTTTTAATTTCCCCCCCCCCCTTCTCTGGAAAACTACAGGTATCGTCTGAGTTTGAGTATCTGGTAAAAACAATTAAGAAATAACCAAGAAAACCCAAGGTTGTTGATACTGGGGTATCTAGGTGCCTATCTGAATGGTTTGATTGTACATCAGCTGCCTGTGAGAACAGCTGAAGTACGACACAACTACTGTGCACTTAAAGCACCCGTGTTTAACGTTACAGTCAGCCTTCAGTGAGCGTCATGGAGATAAGCTGTGTGCGTCCTGGTAGAATCTCATATTCTCTAGATTATTATCTAAGAAATCAGATTTCATTACAGGTTTGAAATGCTTATCTGTCTGTCAAAGAAAAGAAAGGTTTTTTTCATTTCTGTGGAAATCTAAAACTTGAATATACTGAATTTGTGTCTTAAATGTTTGCTACACAGTACAGTATTTTAAATGGAGACACGGAATTTTTATGGTTGAGGTATGATGAAACAAATGGCCCTGTTGTCGAAGAAGCTGGTGAGTTTGATGTGAATCTAGGTTTTGAAACCATTATCCTGAGAAGTGAGTTAAATCTTTGTAACATATAGGTACTGCCATTATGGATGACACCCATTTTTTAATTATTTTGTTGAGTTTTCCTCAAATTGACATATCACTGTGGTTGCCAAATACAGAAATTAAGAGAAAAGCTTTCCCAAACAAGCACAGATCAGATAGAAAATACTAGACTGGCTTTGATTGCTTAAATTATTTTGTTGATCCATCACTACTTGTTACTGTCTTACTGCATTTAACTAAATCATTTGTTTTGTTCCAAACAGGTTTTATCAGTTGCAATTCTTCTTTATTTTTAATATTACAAGAGCTCTTGAGCTGATTTTTTTGCTAAACATGGTCTTTTACTCCTCACTTAGTTAATTGTGAAGAGATTTGATAAATACTACTTTGTAAAACAAGCTGGAAAATACCAAGCTCCAGGAAAAAGACTAGAGTTACAAGTAAGGATAGAGGTTTGAGTCCATGCTCTAAACAGTCCTGTAAGGCCAGAATTATTTTTGAAATGAGTAATTACTTGCACTAAACAGCAAAACACTTTTATGCAGATGCTAAAAGTATTTTAGGAAAAAAATTGACTATTAAACTGCTAAAAAACATTTGTATTCTCTGAAGTTGACCCCCTTATAGCAGTGCTCTTTTAAGACAAGACCACAGTTCCACAAAAAAAATTGCAAACTTTCTCCAGCTACTGGAATTGGCTATGCCAAAAACATTTAAAGAGTGTGTTTTGCTGCTTTCAGTATTTCCTTTCTCAATTTTGTGTAAATATAAATGGGGACTTGAACTTACAGGGGGGTGGAAAAAGCTCTACAAGGTATCTCTGCCTGCTGTTTTCTGTCTGGAGGGTTTTGGTGCAGTTCCAGATTGATTAGTTCGAGGATGCTGTGTTTGGAGAGGAGAACTGACTTGCTTTTTATCCCAACACAGACTTGTCCCTCAGAAAAAGTCTGACATTGGGTAGTGGTGTAATGCCCATGGTGTTTTAAAGAATATTCCTTTTGAATGCAAGATCTTTTCAACAAAATAGTGTTGTCATCAGTTTGGTACTACACGCTTATAATTACTGTGTAATTATAAAGAAATACATAAAACTTTGACTGATTATGTTGCTGAAAAGGGTTATTTGTGCTATGATGGCATCTTAAAACATTTTTCAAAATGAGTGACTGAAGTTGAAGAAATATGATTTAACAGGGTGTTGTTCTAAGGACAAAATGCCTGGTTACAGGGAATATTTTGTGTTGAAACGTGCTGAGATGCGGCCATGTGTTTTTTTTTCCTTCATATATTTGTGTGGGTGGTTTGTTTTGTTTTGTTTTGTTTTATTTTTTAAGAATGCAGACAGTTGCTTACTCGGATTGCTTTAATTCGTAAGTGCTTATGTCTTCAATTTGATGATCTCCCCTTAAATGGATCAATTTAATTTTGCCAAATGTCAAGAAAGAAAAGGTGAACATCAAGTTTGTAACCTGTTTTTATACATTAAATGTGTACAAAATTAGAAGTGCCCTGATATAAAACACTTAATCTTGAGATTATATTTAGTAAAAAAAAAATAAAAAAAAATCATTTACATATCGCTGTAAGTGCAAATGTAACTTCTTACAATCCCTCTCATTACCAACAGAGGCAATAAAGCTCCAGTGAAATTGCCATGACTAAGTCTTCTCCTGCGTTGCTTCAGTGTATTATTTGTTGTAAGAAAGACTTATTTCTAGGATGTGCTTTAAAGCAGGGGGGGGAAAAAAGGATGGATGACTTCTCTTCTCTTCTGCAGAGACTATACTTTATTGGTAAGTTGTGTTTATTGGGGAAAAAAATATCTAAGAATTGCTGCAGCACCTTGCCTGCTGCTCATTCTAAATGTTTAGAGGTACAAGTCAGAGCTGATCTTTTCCAGCCACGCTGCGTTGCCATTGCCTGGCAGTGGAAGGAAGATGCCTCTCACCGTGCATTTGTTTAAATATGGTGGAAGACTTCCTGTACAGAAGTAAAGGGACTTTTTATTGATCTTGTTACTTATTAACTTATGACTTGCTTCAGACCTGTTTTACAGTGAAATCCATACTGAGACATCCTTATTTAAGAACAATATATAATTTTCTAAGAATGCATTTAATAAACTTTTGTCATTCACACTTTATTTAAATAATGTTGCCAGAAGTCTGTAATTTGAATATGCTGCAGTGACTATGTTCATATTTAAACCCATGGTGCCATTCAGTCCTCTGAGCTCTCAAAGAGGAACCACACCATTAAATACTTGATAAAATTATACTCTTAGCTATCAGAAATGGGCCTTGGCTTTGTAGTACTTAACTGATTGTCTTAATACCAACAGGTAGCAGTATCTCCATGAGTAAACACTAAGAATTTTACTCCTGCCAGTTTAAACAGACACCTGTAACTCAAACCAACATCCGGACACTTAACCTGTTAGAAAAATCAACTCCCTGCTTCTGGAAATTCTCCCAATTTAACAAAAGCTGCCTAACTGTAATTCAACTGTTTTACATGAAATTACAACTGTTTCCTTTCTGAACTTAATTCTGTGTCTTCAGAGTATAAAATTTCAACTGGCAGGAATCAGAATGATAAAACCTGTAAATCAAATTAGGAGCAGGAAGCCTGCAAGGCCATGGAGCTGTAAATGTTGTGTGGGGAAAGGACAAGGCTGTGGCTGGGCAACCAAGTGAGCACTTCACCTGTGCTGTTGGAGAAATGGGAACAAAACCCATCCTGCAGCTCCCTCACAAAGCCCCTGCTGCAGTTACCTGGCTAAGTGCACCTCCTGGTGAGCTCTGCTGCTGGAGGGACACCCCTGCTCTTCCACACCTGGTTTTGGTTAGGGTTTTCTGGGTTGTTTTTGGTTGTTTGGGTTTTTTTTTGTTGGTTGGTTGGTTTTATTTTGTTTTGTGGTTTTAATTTTTTTTTGGTCTGTGATGTATGTAGGTGCCCGTGCACCTACGTGTGCACCTGCTGGGAATGGATCCAGCCCTGCTCCTGAATGATCCTGGGCAGCAGGAGCAGCAAGCTTTGCTTTTCTCTGGCATATGTTCCTCTAAGATTTCCATAATTAAAACAATGACTCATTGAGAAGTGAAAGTTTTATTTAATAAATATAATTTTCATAAACCATTTTTAAAACAACTTCTACTGACCAAGCTGTACAATAAGCAAGCACACCAACTCGCTGTCATAATCAAAAATAACATGAGGCAGCCACAGTGTCAGAGGTCCAGAATTCTTTGTACTAATTATTGCTACAGTTTCCAGTTGTCAATGCCCCTTCTTTGCCTAAAATTAAGGATTGACATCTTCAAAAAAAGTACTTCTTCTAGAGATGCTCTCATTCAAGTTTTCTTCAAAAAAAAAAAAAAAAAAAAAAAGGAAGCAGAACTTGGCCACACTTCAGTGACAAAACCAGGAGTCTAGACGATGTATGCACGGGACCTGAAATCTCTCACGGGACCATGACTGGGAAATGTAAAAAATACATTCTTTGCAACAATAACGGTATCTGATTTATACCTGAAAGCGAGTCTCAGTTTTTAACCATTTTCCCCCTTTCTAAACTCTATGCCCCATGGCTTATCTTTGAACCTGTTGCCAAAATGTAAAGAGGTTGAGAACCTACTGCTGTAGGAAATAATTTCCTTTAAAACTGCTGAGGAAAAATTAATATTACAGCCCAGGCCACTTAGGGTTTCTTTCAGACAATTCACACTGTGTTACAGAAACAGCAGTCTCTATCCTTCCTTTCCCCTTCATGTCACATAGAGAGGTCTTTAGCCCATAGCCCCTCCAGTTTTATTCATATCTATGCATTTATACAAACTGGAAACAACAACAAAAAAGTCATCTCTACAGTAATGACAATTGGATGTACTTATGGTAGCACAACATCAGAGTGTGGCAACAGCTCGAGCAAGGCGAATACTTCGAGGTGATGAGAACATTCGTTTTAACGGACGCCACAGAAGCTTGGGCAGGACACAGGGTCTCTCTAGTAAATGATGTCTGATGCTTCTACAAGCAGTATTTAGCTGAAGGAAAAAAAAAATGTATGGAAAGCAGAAGCCTTGCAAATACCGATGCAAACGCGCTTCTAAGACGACTGACGGCAGGAGTTGATACAGCCACGAGCATCTGATTGTTCCTCCTCCTGTTTATAAACCGTGTCATTCCAACAGAGAGCAGAAACCAGACAAATCATGCCACTGGAAGCAAACAACAGAAGCAAAGAACATACAAAACTACCACCAAGAAAAATATTCACAGAAAAAAACAAACCCCTCAGATCTGCAAAGAAGAAAGTCTAACTCTGAAGTAATTGAGGAACAGAAGAAAGGCTAAATCAGTCCCTAACAAACAGTTCGCCCAGCTCTAGGAATAACTCCTTAAAACAGTGATGTCTGTGCAACAAGGCAGTGGCGAGTGCAGTGACGATGGTCTGAGAGTTACTAGGTTTTCTACACCAAGAAAACGAGAATCTCACAATAAATGGTTCAGAAGCACATTATGACTGAGCAGTTTTGAACACTGAATTTCAACAAAACCACTAATATTTAGAAATATAGAAGTGTCAGATAAAACTATTAAAAATAACGTAGACTACAGCTTTGAGACATTTCTAACACTAGAAAATGGTATTTTTTTCCCAATATATAAGTTATACTGTCATAAAAAAATGTGTTTGAAAGTATTACCAAACGTTTCCAGTAAGAAACTAGTTGCCTAATATGCATTCTAAATTGCATAATCTTTTCTCACATCATCTTTTGCACTAGAAATCAAGAAATCATCCTGAAAATGTAAAGCCAAAGGTTCCAGCATTCCTTCATTTGCATTTATTTGTTCCCCCCACCCTGTAACCTTAGAAAATATACACAATATTTTAAGCAGAATATTTACATTTTAGTTTGTGAAACAATTCTGAGCATCTTCCCACTTCATCTGTCTTTCCCACTACACCCTTTAAAAAGCCTAAATTTGGCAACTAAAACTGTGTTTTTCTAAGGAACAGAAACAAACCCCATTTTTCACAGAACAAGAATTAAAATCTGCTGAGAACACAATCCCGTTCTGAAGGTGGTTATGGAGAAGGTGCTTCTAGAGACACTGCATAGTAAAGTGACTAAACACCATTCTTGGTTTTAACTACAAACATCTACCTTAGGCTTTTCTGCCACACGTTAGGAATTTCAAGGCTAAGAGGTAATTCTAAAACTCTCTCTCTAGGGCAAATTCCCCCTCAGCCACTCGCTCTACATCAGAGCACTGAATTCAGCGTCACACTGAATTAGCTGCATTTTTTTTTTTCAGTCTTCTTCATGAAGAATTCCACACTGTACCCAAGGCACAGTCAATGGTTTCACACACTTCAGCTGTCAAAGAAATAACGCAAAATCTTTCTTCCTTGAATAGAAGCAATTTTAAAAGATTTGTGACATCAGTACAAAACCAGAGTCACTTCTTCCATCCAAAATATTTGTCAGACCAACGAATCTGGTCTTACGCAAATTCTATGTTCTTACTAAATGAGAAATTACTGATTTAGATTTACTGCAAATAGAAAAATATACCTTGGCAGACAGATGGATTCTTAAGTTCTTCCTGAATTGTTTAAATGCATGTTTCTTCGGTAACCTTACAAACACTGGGAAAAGGGAAAGTAGGGGGGAAGGGAAAAGAGGAGATGGAAGGTTTTAAAGAAATACATCATGAACGTAAATTATTCTTCAAATATAGGACTGCGCTTCTTTTGTGCAAAGATAATTAACATATTTGTGTGGTAAAAGCCAAACTGCATACATGTACAGAGCTGAGCCAATCTAAATGCTTGGAGCAGGGTTGTGTATCAAAGCCTCTGCCTTCTACTACACAAAATCAACCACAGACTAGATTTCAATACATGATGCACTAATCACACAGACTAATGAGGTTACATGGTCACACAAACTGACTGGATGATTAGAACGCTGAGGCCAACGTGGACAAACAAGTACTGCTGAAAAGTGATTGAGACACAAAAGATACAGCTGAACAGCAGATATCTGATTAGAGTATTTCAAAGAACTCCTTATTTCCTAGGTATCCATGGCAGTGTGAAGACTCTTAGAATGAGAATCTACTAACCAGTAAATCACTATTTAAAAACAGATGTAGCATTTTATATATATATATGTATTTTATATATATATATATAAAAAAGATATACAAAGAAAATTACAGGAGTAGGTGAAATCCAGGTGTATTTTGTTACTACTGCCTATCTGGATAAAGGTTTTCTTGAGGACTGGAGAGATGACAATCAGTTTATTGCATCTCTACACAGGAACCAGGTTTCAAACTAGATGCAGTCAGATGAATCACATGTTAATACCTATTACCTGGGGTGATTCTTAATGATTCTTAATCATCTGGACACTCAATGTAGGGATCTAGTGTACAACTGAAATTTTCAAGCTTAAGCTTCACTGCACTTGAAGGCATGATACAGATAGGAACTAAGAACGCTGAATTAAACATTTTTAAAAAAGAATCTGCTCTATTTTGTTTCTTCTGTTTCATAATTCATTTTCAGGGCTTCTTAATTAATTTGTGAACTGGTCTTCATTTGTGTCAGTGGGACAAAAGCCTCACATACTGCACATTCAAGTCACTACTAGTTTCAAAACAAGGCTGCAATGACAATTTTTTTTACCACACAAATGTTGCCTTGAACATCCTGCAGTACCTGCAGCCTTTGGAGTGAAGGTTCCAGTCTTTAATGCAGAAATAAAGCTCCAAGAGAGCTGAAGTAATATTGGTTAAAGTCACGAACACTAATAATGAACGGCAGGGCTGTTTATAGGTAAGGAACATCCAAAGCATTCGATACAAGGAAAGTTGGACCTCTGGAACACTTCCCCTCACTGAACTCGGGAGAATTTGGGATGACCATAACAAGAGGGATACAGTCCTCTGGCTGCAGCCCAGGCCCCACCGAGCTGTCACACCAGGAGGGTAAGATGTATCTGCCTGAATTAAGAAAGAAAAAGTATTTGCCATGTAATTTGCTTGGGAGACAGCACTTAAGCCAACAGTGGAAACTTGTGCAGGAAGGGTGAAAGCAGCTAATACTGGTTTTGTCCAAATCCTACATTTAACCACATCTTTATTAAAGAAGATCTTGTAGGTGTTATTTACAGCCTCTGTTCAATTTACAGTTTATTCCATCCAGAGGTAATTTTAATATGCAGCTTGACATATTTTACTGTCTCACAGGAAGATTCTTCCAATTATTGATGGGACCTCAGCATCAGAGACTGACTTAAAACTGGATATTCAAACAAGGGTCCAGAAGTAGCAGCATTTTTACCAGCCTCTAGCCATAAAAACTGTCACACCTAAGGTAATGCTCTACAGATGTCCCTGGTGGCAGCACCTCCATTTTATCTGGCACATCTAAAGACAACCAATAGGTTAAGCCATCCCAGCTGACCAAATGTTGCAACTCAGCCCCAAACACACAGGCACCTTTATAATGGGACAACAGATATACCTGCAAGATGTACCATTCAAAGCTCCATCTGTGCAATCTGTTTTTATTGGCATACTTAGGTATCAAAACATTGCCATCAATGTCTCAGATCCTTCAGATATATGAAGATAATTAAGCATTAATTGTATCTTCAAAGTACAACGTGACCAAATATAAATACATGAAAAAGAATAAAACATGCAAAAAATTCCCCAACTTTAAAGGATTAATAATTCAAAAAATTTATGCTAGTGACACTTGGGCACAATGCACCAATTCTTACATATTTTTCCATGTCCAGATCAAGAACTGTTAACAAAGCACACAGGGCATAAAAGATGACTGGCTTCAAATTGTACTTTCAGAGAACAGTGAACTGTTATATCCCTTATTATTCCAAATTATTCATTTGTCAAAGCTGACAGTGTTTTTCAAAGCAATGACTAATACATTGCCATTCAAACACCAGCATAAATATTTGAATTGTATTTAACTCTCAAAAATAACTAAACTGATTGCTTACAGAATACAGTAACTGTTCATGGAAATAACAAAACTGATTTCCAAACTGCTAAAAAAGCATCTGTAAGAGACAGCTCAAAATTAATGTGCGTGTTCAAAGTGAAGGGTCATCATGAAAAATGCAACTTTTTAAAGCTTTGTGGTACAAATTCAGTTCAATTGGATCACTTGAATTTGAGAGGAGAAAGATTTTGTCACTGCGCTACAGTGACATCTCAAGTATGAAACGCAGGATTCCAATCTGCTCAGATGGTAAGAAACAAGATTAAATGGTCAGAGGTAAAAGCATTCCCTTAAAAAAAAATATTTAGCAATTTGTTGATATCATTAGAAAAAAAAACAGTGGAAGCTATTACTGTCCAGGTGACTTATGCCAGGCCACAAGACAAGCCACGGTTTCTATTTAGAAGTCACGCTACTCTTTTCTAGGGCTGGGATGTAGCACTGAACTCACTTCAGAACCTACTATAGGTGTGTGAGCACCCCATGGCTTCCACAAGGCATTTACAAATGTCCCTGTTAACAAGTGGCCGAGTCCATTGTGGAGAGAGTCAAGATGCTTCTGTCGTTGGCATAGAAGGGATCCGATGAACTCCATGATCTAAAGTAACAATAAAAGAAAAGTTTGGCTGACTGGGAACTTATAAGCTAGAGGTGAGGAGAAAAATCTATGAAAGCATGAAATAAAAGTTTTATGAGATTAGGCAAATGTTAATCTTTAAAAATCTAATCTATTAATTTCATGTAGGCACCTGCAATTCATTCAAACCTTTGAAAATATACTGCAATTAATCACACCAACTATGTAATTAACAATTCTATATTTACCTTTCTATGTTTACTCAGAGCTACAGATATTTTCATCACTATGAACTAAAATGACCAGAATTTTACAACTAAAGTCTTAGTATTGTGCCTCAAGGAAAATGTGAATGTTGCATGTGTAAGCTGAGGCACTGTGAATGCTGCAATTTGATTTAGCCTGAGGTCATTCTAGTAAAGCCCCATGGAACACACAAGCTAAACTGTGGTAACCCTGGATACTGGTGTTCTAAAGTCAGACACCCACACTGTCTAAAGTTGCGGGGAGGCAAAACTTATCTACAGCCATAAATCTATTTTATCCCTTACTGTTCAATTTAAGTTAAAATTTCAGGCATCAGGAAAACCACCTAACATGACACAGCTTTTGACTCGAATGGCATCTCACAATGTCTTTCTCTTAAAGGACAAATGACTACTTAGGAAGAAATACTGTTCTCGGTTGAGCAATATTATAGGACTGTGTGTGAAAAGCTGAAAAATAGAAGGTTGGAAGGCAGGAAATCAAAATACAACGAACTTATGCTCCAACTTTGCCTCTGTCAGAAATCTGCTGTTTCTTTAGAACTTTTACACATGATGCCTTGACACGGGTACCACTAATGGGAGATCTGAACAATTCAGTAATGAATCCTACTGTACAAGAATGTATATGATCCAGCACTCTTAATATTTAGTGACTGACAAGTTGACAGACAATTTAATGGAACAGACAGACACAAATGCATTTTATCATACCACAACACACATTTTATATTCTAACTGGTGAATGAAGCTATAGAAAATATTTCTCAAATACATTTCACAAGCAGTAAATTAAGTACAGGAGACTATATTCCTGTGGCCCGCTACTCCAAGCATTTGTACAACTTTGATTCATCAAAGTTTCTATCAAAATTTGACACCATGTTTGATTTCATGTTCAGTTACCTTATTTGACAGAATATCATATTTGACAGAATATCAGGAGCACAGAATACAACACAAGCTAGCTACAGCAACGTTATTTAAAATAGTGCTCTTCATTCTACAGCACTCACACAGACAACATTTATCAGCATCACTTCATTTAACAAAAATAATTTGCAGCTACCTTCTGGTTGAAGAAGCAGCTGTTTTATAAAGCACAAGTCCTCAAAAGACCATCCTGTTCGGGACTGTGCAATCTTCTGAAGATACCAGCTTTAGGTAAAAATCAAAGCAGCTCAAGCTCGTGAACAAAGGCTAAACAATTTTACAAGGATTTTTAAATCACCAAATAGCTTTCTTAACTGTACCTTCAGCATTTCACAACTTGTAACTGCCTCATGTGATTTAAGCAATTAGTACATTAAAAAAAAATAAAGACTTTCACATATTACCAGGAAAGTGTAGGGGAAAAAATAGTCTTAGTACCTTGACTTTCAGACTAGGTTTTAAGTGTCAGTGCTGAATGGAAGGAACTGAAATCACTGAAAAAAGCAAGACTGAAATTGAAAAAAATGTCTTTTCTAGTTGTACTGTACATAAATTTAAATGAAACTACAAGATGGTCCAGAGTAATTTCAACCAGAGGCAGGAGCAAAAACTACAGAACTTCAAGCCCTTATTGTAGCACCAAGATAGTTTTGCATATTTGTTAAACATAACACTAACTTCTGTGTTCTAACAACTCTCAAATTATTAATCTAGATGGAACTTTGTCTGAAAATTACATGAGGTAAGCAGACAAGAAACCTGAGAAAAAGCAGTCTTCAAAAAGTGTTTAATATTCTGTCAAATATGAGTTGTCTTCAATAAATATTTGTAAGTTCTTAAAGAAAGAAAAATTCAGTGGAAAAAAGAGGAAATCGTAAAAATGTAAATGCATTGCAGAAAATAAAACACAGAATACCTACCTTATATAACTACATGTTACTAAGGCAAATGTTAACTAAAAATCTGCCCCAGTCAAATAACAATAAATGAAAAAAGTAGCATATGAAATTCCTCAATTGAAAAGCACAGTTTTACAGAGAAGTGGAAAAAAACCCAAAAAACTTAAGAGCAACTGCTATCAAAATGTTGATTTTTAGACCAATTAAATGCTCACCTTGTAGATTAAAAATTCTATTAAATTTTTTATTTTTTTACATCATGCCCACTTTCTATACAGCAAGAGTTTGAATTAAAAAGGTACTTAATCATAACAGTTCATTTTTCATATGGAATGAAACATTTTGCATAATCATATCCTAGATTTGTAGAAACGCTGAATCAATTTCTTAAGCAAGCTAGAGAGAGAAACTGACTGAAACCACAGACACTGTGTTCAACACAAGAGTTCAAAACAGAGACGTACTACATACCAAGTCAATATCTAAAGGCAGAATCAGAACTGACAAGGCTTGTCAGTGAAAATCACCCACACAGGATTTTAAATTGAATGAATGATATCACAACCTTTAACCAAGAGACAAAGTTGTTCAAAGACAAAATGAGTTTCCTTGAAAATGTGTGAAGTGCAACTTTTTTCAGGTTTGCCTTCTGACCAATGAAGGACTATGATATCATTCAGGGACTGAGAGATTACGATGTACAAAAGACTATTTTTATTTCTACCCCCAAATATTTCCATGTTTGTTAGCTATCCCTCTTTATTTGGAAATGAGGAGATGGCACATTAGCAGATTTATTAAGAGCTTTTCTCACAGTTAGGCTGACTGCAAGAGCAGTACTGCTCCTTAGCCGTATTTGATTAATCTATCGTGCTTTTCTCCCGCTGAGGTTTGTTTCACACGTGGTTTGTGAAGGAAAAAGGTTTATTTAGCACATACTTTTGGAATGGCACACATGATTTTGACAATATACCTTCTAGAACCAAAAAAAGTTTAAAATTCTTAGAACCTGAAGGTTCTGTTCTGTCAATTACTCTGATTTTAGAAATAGATTATAAAAGTTATACTACAAAAATATTTAATCTTCATATCAATCAATGGCTGAAAGATTTAAAGACTCTCCTTCTAACAATGAAGTTATATTTAAGGGGGGGGGGGGGGGAG